ACATTTTTAACCTTGGCCGACTGCGCCGCCTCGGTTATCTCCTGATAGAAAGCCGAAGGCTGTTCCCCAAGATTTAGCAGACGGAGCTGCCAGTCCATAGGTTGGACTTGGTATGCCGCCTGACCCCCGAAGGGAGCCGACTGCATGAATGGAGATCCATACGGGGCGTATTGTTGTTGGGGCACATACGGAGCCTACTGGATCACGTGAGGGCCAGTACGTGCGGACACGCCGCGCGACTGACTCCCTTGCTGCGTCTCCGAGTGCTTCATTGAAGCATTTCAGAAACTGTCTGAGTAGGTCGACGTTAAAGCCGACTGAGACATTCTCTGACTTCTCTTCTCCTGGATGAACATCCGGGCGTTAGAGAAAGTCTTTTTTGACCCATCCGGCTGTGTATGCCGGATGGCCTTCCTTTTCCCTGATTAAGGAAAACGAAGTTTGGAGAGGTCGATCAGGGGCCCATCCGTCCCCTTGGGTTTGGGATGCGGAGTAGGCACCCAGTCTTTGATTTTCTTCTTCCCGGAGGAAGAAGTCTTTTTTGCTGACTGACCCTTGCTTGAGCCAGCCGACTTCTTGATTATGTCTTTGATTTCCCCCTTGAAACTAGTCATGAGATTCATGAGTTCGTCTCTAGTGACGGGGGCAGCACCCTCCACCGCCTAGGGTTGTCCAGGGTGCTTGTTGTCTGGGTTGTTGGGACAAGGTTTGTCTTGGTCTCGTTCCTTCTTTTCTTTGGAACGGGTGCGCCTAGAGCGGAATGACCCGTCTGGGGCCATGTAAGTTTTGACATTGTAGTCGTCACCACTGCCACTTTCATGGTCCGTATGGACCTCAGGGTCAGTCGTAGGCCGGCTGCCCTCTGCATTCAGTACAGCATCAGATGCCATCTCAGTAGTACTCTCCCCACAGACGGCACCAAATGTTTCGGGTGTTTTTGGTCCCTCGGGAGAGTTACAATACGGAGTATGCGCGCCTGACTTCTGTGCCTGCAAAACCACGAAACTCCGGTTAGGTGGAGTTCCGCCTCCGACGATTAAGTTAGTATGATTCCGGATGGTAATAGTGCGGAAAGTAAATAGGTATTTCTCCCTTATTCAAGGAGATTCCGCAATTAATATTGCTCGGATTTTGTGTCTGTATTTATAAATGCAATTGAATGAGGATGATTCCTCTATTTATAGCAGATGAGAATTTGCTCCCCCATTGGGGGTTCAATGCCACGTGGCATCCTCTAATTGGATCCCCTTGGGCCTTTATGAGGGTGACACGTGTTATGCCCTCATTGGGCCACGTGGCAGGGGTGATATTTACCCCAATCAATATTTTTTAAATTTTGGTAATCCATAGAGATTTAATTACTAAAAGGAGAAAGTTACAACTTACAAAGAGTTAAGCTGTAACCACCAAAACACCACAAGATCACAAAGGCCAAATACCCACCAAACCTATTTGAGGGATAAAAGTGTCACCTTCTACGAAGGGTTCACTTCTGAGACCAAGAAGCAACTTAGGAACCAGAAAGTCATCTTCTAGGAAGGGTGCTCCCTTTACCAGATAACAACAAGAGGTAGAGAAAAAAAAAACATAAAAAGCAATTGAATGTCACTAACAAGTTATTTACAAGCAAACATTACAAATAATATCCCTAACAACACGTCTCTAGCTTTACAACTTCCAATGAAAATCAAAGAGTAACTCTGTAACCAAATACTATGCACTGTTCCAGCAAAGTACGTGTTCAACAATCTGTTTCTTGGTCTAGCCTTCTTGCCATGCTGAAGAACCCATCTAACATCTTCATCAAAATTCTGAACATTTCTATTGTATTTCAGCAACACCATAATCTTCTCCCAAATCTGCAAAGAGTAAGAACATTTAAAGGAAAAATGTAAAACAGATTTAACTTCATGAGCACATAAAAAACACATCAAATCACACTAGATATTTTAGATCGGCATCCTATCTTTAGTCACCTATCTATTCCTCAAATTTAACCATGTACTTAAAAAGACTTTTTGGGGAAGCCAAGCTATTACAAATCACTCTTTTCCAGGGAACTCTAGGTGTATAAAGGATAAGCAACTGATAAACTTCTTAATACTCCCTTTTTCACCAAGTTGCACTCCTTCCAACCCTCAATATCATCAACAACTTTCCTACATCCTAAGAATTTCCTAATTAAGAACCCAATAACATTTCTTAGGTGAAGGCGTAGTCCACCAATATCCATCCTTGAAATAATAATTATGGACCCACTTAACCCAAAAATTGTGAGCTTTGTGAGCTAATAAGTCCCATAACAATCTGGTGATGGTAGGAGTATTCTATTCAAGTAAAGAAATTAGATTCTGAGCACAACTCACCTTAAGCAAGCAAACCTGAGATCAAGCTACTAAAGCTTTCTTTGTAGTTTTTTTTTATGAAAGTTCTAAATTTGGCCTCAATTTCTCTCATAATCTTTTTAGGCAATACAAAGATATGTGGCAATAGGTCTGATGCCAAAGAGCACACTCTTGATTAGTTGAAGTCTTCCAGCACAAGATAGATGCTTTGCAAACCAACCATTCACTTTAGATGTAACTTTATCAACAAGGGGCTTATACGGATCAGAACTATTATAGTCTTTTTGAAGAGAAAGGAACACTAAGGTATCTGATCGAAAAGAAGAGAACCCTAAGCAACACCAAGAAGTGTCATTCAGTGATTCGATCATCAGCAGAAATACCCAATTTCAAATTTGGACCTTCTCTCGATTTGTGTGTGTCATCCTTGTACAGGAGCCATGCTAATCTTCTCTATATCATTCCAATTTTATTAGATGCCTTCGAAGAGACAACCTTTTAAAGTATGCACCAGCTGGGAACCTAGATGTTATAGTTTCTACAAGTACTTCCCCCGACCCCGTTTCAATTTGATAGTCTTATTTTGACTTTGCACGACATTTTAAGATGCTTCTTTGACCATTAATATATATATAGAATTAGGATCATGTGAAAACCAAGTCCTATAATAGGAACTAGGAACTAGGAACTCATCGTGACCGTTGATCGCTCTTAATCCAACGGCTCATGCTTCACCCGCCTTTTTCAATTTCATTAATGTTATTTTCGTAATTTTGGCAGTTTAATGACCTCCCTTGTTTTTCCAGGCGCTGCTTCATTTTTTCTCTCTATGTTCTTCCGCATTTTCTCTCTTTACCTTCAAATTCTTTCAAAGGCAATTTTTCGCGATCTGCTCTCTTTGCTTGTAATCATTGATTTGTCAAATTCTTCGATTTTGATCTTCAATTACTTTGTATTCTTCGATTTTTGTCATTCATTGAGGTAATTTTCTTGTGTTTTTTATTTTATTTTTATTTTTGTTGTTTATTTCATTACGATTTTCGCGATTTAGGGTTTTTTTATTTTAATTTTTATCAATTAGTTTATTTTTACTTTTTAATTGTTCTCTGATTTATTTTCTACGATTTAGTGTTTGATTTAGGGCTTTATTTTTACGATTTAGGGTTTTTTTTTATTTCCGGTTTAGGGCTTTTACACTTGCTTACCCAATTCATGGCAGTGGTTATGTATAAAGTTGCTATATGGCTGGCTGGTCTTAATCAAGTAGTATAACGTGTTGTTATTTTAAATTTACTTTTTGCATTGAGTCATTTACTTTTCATTATTAATTTTGCTTAATCCTTATAACTTCATTTTTTTTAGTTTGTTTAACTTTTTGAGCTTTTTTATTTACCTTTTGCTTTGAGTCGTTTACTTTTTAGTATACGTCTAATAGTTTTTATTAGTATACTTTTTAAATGGTTAACTTTTTGTTATTGTTTATTTACTTTTTTTTTATTCATTTACTTTTCAGGAAGATGACTGAAAGTGTAGAGCATTGTTCTGCTGCTGTCACTGATGAAGATATGAATGTAAGAGTTTTCAAAACACCTACTCAACCTGTGCTTCCTAAGATATATTATAATTCTAGTGGTGATAAAGAGTATATCCTAGGTTGCTCTTTGGAAAACAAACCTATTCTTGGAATGAAATTTGATAGTCTTGGAGATGGTATTGCCTTTTATTACAAATATGCTAATGAGTGTGGATTTAAAGTCTGTTCTAGTAATACTAAAGTAGATAAAAATAAGGTTGGTTCTAATAATGGTAAAGGAGTTACTGTAATTAAATATTTATTATATAGCAAAGAAGGGTATGTGACAAATAACAAGAAAGCTGGTAAACAAGTTAAAGGTGCATGTTTAAGGAAAAAGACTGTGAAGAGAGTTCGATGTCCTGCTAATATTAAATTTAGGTTTTGTAATGGTGGCCAGTATATGGTTTACTCTTTTTATGAGTCCCATTCTCACCCTTTTTCTACACCTATTACTAGGCAGGTTACTAAATATGAAGTTAGTTTAAATTTTGCTCATAAGAAGTTTATTTTTGACAACTCAAAGTTAAATATAGGGGTTGTTATGTCTTATAGGATCATGAAAGAACTTTGTGGTGGGTTTAAAAATGTCAGGGGCAATAAAAACGACTTCAAAAATTTTTCTAGGGACGTGAAAGTTTATATCTCTAATGCTGATGGTGCAATGTTTGTTCAAAACCTTGAACAAAAAGTGAAAAGCAGTAAAGGGGGTTATTATTTTGATTATTGTGTTGATGAAAGCAGGCACTTGACACGTGTTTTTTGGGCTGATGCTATTGGTAGAAGAGATTATCAATTGTTTGGGTACTTTTTATCTTTTGATTCTACCTATGATACAAATAAATACTCATTGGTTTTCTGCTCTTTTACTGGAGTTGATAATCATAAGAGATGTGTTACATTTTGTGCTGCTTTATTATCTAAAGAAGATGTAGAATCTTTTGTGTGGCTATTTCAAACTTTTTTGAAGTGTATGGGAAGAGAACCCTCTTGCATAATCACTGATCTAGACCCTGTAATGGGTATTGCCATACAAAAGGTTTTTACCAAGCACTAAACACAAGTTATGTATGTGGCACATAATGAGGAAGGTACCTGAAAAGGTTAGAACTCAGTTTTGTAATGAAACTGAGTTCTTGAAAAAGCTAAGTGCAATAGTTTGGGATAGAGAAATTGATCCCCATGTATTTGTTGATGGCTGGAACAATGTTATGGAGGAATTTGACCTTGTAGATCATGAGTGGTTTGCATACATGTTCAATATTAGGCATCTTTGGATCCCTGCATATTCCAGGGACTTGTTTATGGGTGTGTTACTGCGTTCTACTTCTAGGTCTGAAGGTGAAAACAATTTTTTTTATAATTTTATAAACCCTCATGTGACCTGTGTTGAATTCTTTGTCCATTATGAAACTGCTCTTGATGCTCAAAGGCATGAACAGGATGAGTTGAACAGGCTTAATAAATCTGAGCCTCAATTGGCTACTCATTTGCACTTGGAAAAGCATGCTGCTTTTGTTTACAGTCGTGCCATCTTTTATGATTTTGAAGAAGAATGCCAGGCAGCCTGTTTCTCATGTGGTGTTGAAAGTTGTAGTTCTCTATATGGAGATGGTTTGGAGTTTTCTGTAATTGTTGATCATGAGAAAAGGAAAAACTTTGATGTAAATTTTGACTTGGCCACATATGAATGCAGTTGTACTTGTAAAATGTTTGAGAGTCAAGGCATCTTAAGTAGACACATTCTGTTTATTATGAAAGGCAAGTCTATACGTGAAATTCTTGATCTTTATATCATGAATCGTTGGAGAAAAGACATTCTGAAGAAAGCTTAAGGCATAAATGCTGTTCTGGATGATGCTTCTAAGTATGATAAGAGGAAGCAATTGGTGAGTGATGTGTGGTCCAAGATTTTCAGTTGTGTGAGTTTATCTGAGCAATTTGAGGATGATTTATCTGAGCTTATTAGGACATTATCTTCATTTGAGAAGCAGATGCTGATAAAGAATAATCCTGAAAATGCAACTAGTTCAAAAGAGGTGAAAGATGCTGATATTCAGGTTTTGGTTTGGTCAAATGAAGTAGATGTAAATATCTTGCCTCCAAATCAGTGTCTTAATAAAGGTTCTGCCAGAAGTTCAAAGCGGTTGAAGAGTGCAAAAGAAATAGCTTCTGAAGAAAAATCCAAAAAGGGCGGAACCTGTAGAGCTTGTGGGCAATTTGGTGTTTCACATGACAGTAGGAACTGTCCAAACAAGTAGTTCTTCAGGTATTTTGCTTTTACATGTGTTTCATTTACTTTAATCTGTTATTTATTTACTTTAAAATTTAACTTGATTTACTTTTTATTTTTGTGCAGGTGTTATCATACTTGTACTTTTTTTTAGGTATTTTACCTTTATATTTTTCTCATTTACTTTAAGTTGAAATTTTTTTGCTTTACATTGAAATTTATTTTCTTTAATCTGTCATTGATTTTTCTGATGTTTATTTTTGTGCAGTTAATATAATACTTGGAAATTTGAAGATGTTATGGAAGATCAAGATATACTGAAGAAATATTAATGTTTTTTTTATTATTTTTGTAATGTAATATTTTTACGTTTACTCTAAGTAATTATACTGCAGATATAAAGTTCAGTTTGTTTACTTTTACCTATTATACTTTAATTTTATGAAATATTTCATTTACTTTATGATATTGTTTTTTTCGTGTCTTTCACAATGAATAATATATCATATGAATTGTATTATCATGTTATATTTCATCTTCTACCACCGCACAACCATCGTATTTCCACTAACACTATCACATGGCCAATAGTTGAAATAATATGGTGCACGACCTTCCAACCAATAATATTTCGGAAAATTTGTACTTTTTTTAGTGTGAACAAGCATTGAACTACCACCTCCACAACCACCTCACAACCACCTCACAACCACCTCCACCTCCACAACCACCTCACGAAGACTATTTTTTGAACTTTTTTCTTTTACTTTTAACTTCATGTCTTTTACTTTAACACTAATTCCCTTTACTTTTAAATCGAACATCATATTTCTGACTATTTTTTTAACATTATTTATCTCTTAAATTTGTTCCTTTTACTTTAATGATAATTTCATATACTTTTGGATTAATTTCTTTTACTTTAACATTACTTTTTTATTGATTTCTTCTACTTTTATATCTAGCACCATTTTTCACATGGAATAAATCTACTACTTCAACTCAGAGATATAATATGTATTCTTTATACAACCATACTACTTAAACCTTTAAACTAATGTTTTGGATTAATACTATATAACTTAAAGTACTCTAATGCCTATGATATATACAAATCTATTAAAAACATTTACAATTCTTCAAATTCCTTTTGCTTTCATCTCTTCCCAATCCTCAACATTTGTCAGCAGTTTCTCTTGCATTTGATTGTTATAATTGAGAAGTAGGTCAAGTACTATTTTTACATGATGCTGTGTCAATCTTTGAAATTCTTGTAAAAAATAAAAGATTAACCTTAGTTTTAATAAATTATGCTCTAAGTAATTCATATTGTTTAGGGTAAAGTTACCCTGCCCACGTGGACCAATCGTATGCTGACACGTGTCTGCCTTAGAGGGGTTCCAAGAGAACCAATCCTCTAGTGACATGTGGCACTCCAACCTTTGAGAGGGGAACTGATCCCCTCACACTATAAATAGAGGAAAATCCTCATTTATTGCACATTCATAAATATACACACAAAACCCGAGCAATATTAATTGTATAATTCTCTCGGAATACCAGAGAAAAACCCTTACATTCCGCACTTTTATACATCCGGATATGTTCTAACTTGGTCGTCGGAGGCGGAACTCCACCCAACCGGAGTTTCCGTGGTTTTGCAGGTACAGGCGGTCGACGCGCATTCTTGGAATTGTAACTCTCCCGAGGGACTTCAAAAACCCCAAAACATTTGGCGTCATTTGTGGGGAAAGTACTTCTGAGATGGCATCAGAGTATGTACCGCCTGTTGAAGGCAAACGGCCTACGGTCGAAGTTGAGGTCCACACGGACCAAGATAGTAGTGACGACCTTGAGGTCGACACGTACGTGGCCCCAGACGGGTCATTCGGAACAAGACACACCCGTTCCAAGGAAACAAGGGAACGGGGCGAAGACAAATCTGGTCCCAACAGCCTAACCATCAAGCCGGCTGGGACACCCCAGGCGGCACAGGGAGCTACCCCTGTTACAAGAGAAGAAATCATGAAATTCGTGACGAGTTTTGAAGAGGAAATCAAGGACCTGATAAATAGGTCAACTGGCACCAACAAAGGTTAGTCGGCCAAGAAGCCTTCTCCCTCAGGGAAGAAGCACGTTAAGGATCGTGTGCCTACTCCTCACCCTAAACTAAAGGGGGCGTATGGGCCCATGATCGACCTTTCAAAGCTCCGTTTCCCTGAATCAGGGAAACGGAAGGCCATCCGACAATTTCAGCCGGATGGATAAAAAAGGACTTACTCAGATGCCCGGATGTTAATCCAGCAGATTAGAAGTCAACAGTTGTCTGAGTCGGATTCAACGTCGACTTACCCAGACAGCTTTCAGAATACTTCAATGAAGTATTCAGAAACAAACCGAGAGAGTCAGTCATGCGACTTGTTTCGGGGTTTTCTGATGTCCTGCGGGAGAGTTACAATTCCAAGACTGGAACCGGACGCCTGTACCTGCAAAACAAACGGATGCTCCGGATGATTGGAGATCCGCCTCTGACGGTCAAGTTAGTACTTGATTAAGGAGTAATTAATGCGGAAATTAAAGTGATTGGGTCTCTCTAGGTGAGAGAGTTTAATGTGTGTAATCTGCGTAATCTCCCTTAATGAGGATTAAGGGAGGTATTTATAACCTCGGGAAACGTGCCAATCTAGGTTTAGGTTAACCTTGGGCTGATTGGGCTTCCCACGGAAGTTGGGCCTAGGTGACCGGTTATCCCAGGTGTCATGGGAAGGACACGTGTCGTGTCGTAATTGGTCCATAGTGGACGGATCATTGCTTGACACGTGGCAGGCTCCTATTGGCCCATGTGACGGACACATGGCGGAACCTGATTGGTCCACTTGTCAGATGGTGATTGGTGGGGAAAAATCCCCTAATCATTTGCCCCTCACAGGTGGCACGTGACTGGTCACGTGTTACCTGTGACAGGTGTCGCACTATGACAGGCGACGGCCTGCTACAGGTGTCAATCGGCGAAAGGCCGAGAGATTCTCCCGCCAAAATTTTGAACTTTGGAAGGGACCCTTCGACTTCTAACTTCGCCTATATAAGGGGGTGTTGACTTCAGTCATTTTCACATTTGAGAACTTTTAGAGAGGACATTCGGACCCCTGAACTTGCTCTGACATTTTGGACCCTTTCTGCCTACCGCCTGCTCTGACAAGCCGACTGCAAAGGATTTTCGGAACTTCATCAATCGTCACTCGTTCAGGTAACCGTCGGTTCTCTTACTCTTAATTTTCTCCTTACTTTATTCTTTTTTGAAATGGCACCACGGAAGCACACGACACGACCTAGGTTAGTGATCAGCCGGTCACCGGGGACGGTTGAATCTAGGACTAGGAGTGCCGCCTGCCCTTTTCTGGACCCATCTTTTCCCTTTATACAAAGTCCGACTGTATCTGTGTCTATGCAGAGCATGATGACCAGAACAAAAAAGACTGCCAGGATCTCAAACTCAGACGGCTCCTCCCACAGGGTGCCGATTAGTGAAACATCTGACCAGGCGCCAGATGTGGAAGTGAAACAAAGTGGCTTGAAAGCCGGCAGTTCTGAGGGAGGAGTCAAAGTGACCCCTTCCCATTTTACAGTTGACAATTCTACATTCTCTCCTGCTCCTTTTAAAGGAGAGGAGTCGGGCTAACTTTGATCACCTTTAATATTAATAGTTGAATTTGTGCATTGAAAAACGTGACCAAACAAACATGTCAACTAAAATGAAACACATAAATAGTATGCTTATACTATGTCTAAAACCCTTGTTTGGGATGAAAGCTTATAGCAAATTACTAATTTTAAAGGATCTATCACAAATAATCTTACATGTGACGTTTACTAGTATATCTAACATGTATTGGGCAAGAACCTACAATAAAATAAATAAATTAATGAGAAAATTAAAAATAATAATCCCAACTTTGGATTATTCTAAAATAATCCGAATTTTGGGGGCTTTTGATTTTCTTCAATCCCAAATACCGATTACCGGTTGAATGAGTTATTTTTATTTTATTTTTTTTGTTAAAGTGACACGTGTCGTAAATTAATTAGTTAAATAAATAAATTTTTTTTTTTTTTTAAAAAAAAACCCCACCCAACCACCTTAAGAGACCTGGCAACCTGCCTAGCCCAACCATCCCTCGCCAGACCGCCGTCAGTCCCCCACCACTATAGTCGTCGCTCCGGCCGCTTCCCTCTAAACCACCATCCCCTCCCCGAAACCCCCACATAACCACCAATAAAGCCCCTTCCCCACTTCGAAGACTTCCAAGTGCCACTCTCTTTACCCCGAAACCCTAGTAGCTAGGGTTTTCGATGGTGAGGAAGTGGCTGTTGGGGGTTTTCGGGAGTGGGGGAGGGGTTTCGAGGGAGTTTTGAATGGTTGGAGGGGTTTAAAGGGTGGTCTTGTTGTGGAGACGAAAAATCGAATCGGAAAAGGAGGGGATTGGGGTAGAGGTGGGTTACAACACCGGCACAGGGGGATTGGGGGGAAAGCGGCGCAACATTGGGGCAAGGGAAGGGAGGGGTAGATGCGGCCGATCGGCGTTAGGTGGTGGGGGTTACGGTGGTCAGGTAGGGATAAGGATTTTCTGGTTTTCTTTAAAAAAAATTAATTTTTTTTCTTAAAATTTTTCTTTTTTTAAATTTTTCTGGTTTTTTTTTTAATTATAGCTTGACACATGGCACATAACCTGTTATAACAGATCATCGACTTTTGTTGACCGGTTTGGGATTGAAGAAAATAAACAGCTCCCAAAGTTCGGATTATTCCAGAATAATCCAAAGTTGGGATTATTGAAACAAAATCCGTGAAAGTTGGGATTATTTTTTTAATTTTTCCTAAATTAATTTGTTTCTAATGACTGATCAAATTAAGACTTTAGATTAGTTCGTTATATTAGCTAGAAAAGCTTTGCAACTAGAAAATATTATACAGTTTTTCACAAACAAAAAATTCAAATTAAAATGGGGAAAATTAATAAGAATAATCCAAACTATTAATGTCCTTCTCAAATTAATCCCAACTATTATTTAACCTAGAATAATCCCAATTATTGGGTGCTTCTTCTCAAAATAGACTCTTTTACAGGTTACCTATAATATCAGTTAACATTTTTAATCCCGTTTTTTTTTTTTTTTTTTTTTTTTTTTTTTACATTTCACCCTTTCTTTCTCCCTCCACCATTTCGATAAACTTAGCACAGACATTCTGCCATACCACCTCAACGGTTGCCAAGCCATTCAGCCAACCCCTTCTCTTGCATACAACTCCATACTTTATATCT